AACGTACGTTAGAATAAAAATACCTGTCTTTATTATAATTTTAAAGATAAAACAGATTACACTATTTTAATAAAAATATAGAATATTTTACTTATAAAATAAGTTAGTTATTTGTTTTTATTAATATTTTAATAACATTAATATTAAATTCTATACACACACACACACACACACTTATATATATATATATATATATATATATATATATATATATATAAAACTTGTTTAATATTTTAATGTCATTAAAATATTAAAATATTAATTTATATCTTTATGTGCGTGTATATGTATGTGTGTGCATGCACGCATTCATTTATAACTAATTCCATATTATTAGTATATATTAAACTATCATTGAGAAAGTTAATATTTTTTTATTAATTATTAGTAAATTATTTAATAAATAAGTAAAATAATAATTTTATATTAAAAAGATTATTATAAATATTAACTTTCTTAATTTATTTAAAGTTACACTGAAAGAGAAAGAGAGAGAGGGATTAATCTCATTAATTATATTTCTATTTGCACATATTATCGATTAAATTAAATAGATGTATGTATTACAGACAAGCATAGTTTGTTTAGTCATTAATATTATTCGCGTAAAAACGAAATCTTGTCGACGTTTCTTATGATTAATATACCGTAATGAAAAAGAAAAAAAATTAAAAAGCCATGCTCTTCCGCACAGCTTAGAGCAAAACCGCGAAGATTCAACAAATCCCCGGATAATGCTTATGACGTTGTTTGTTCTTTTTTGCTCTTGCATCTACAAGAGAGAATTTATTCACACTCTTCATAATTACTTTGCATAACAGAAACGACGCAATCTCAAAAATCTTTATACGTTTTACATTTTTTGATTAATCATTTTGAATCATTTTAATCATTTTTAACAAATTTCTTTACTTTTCTCATTAATCTTCCTAATAAAAGATCAAAAGAGATTCAATCAAAAAAATAAATTCAAATTAAAACATTTCCGAAAGCACTTTAAAACGTACATGATTTCTTAATATTTCATCGTTTTTAACATTTCATTTTCCTCGACCCAAAATATATATTTTTTTCAGCTTCAAAATATAAAAAATCTTTATAATATAAAAGAAATTTAAAAGAATTTTATTAATTTGTCCTCTCATAAAGAAAGATAAATACGCGTATGCTTGGTATGTATATGTACGTATTATAAATTATCATGTCTCAAAAAGTTCAAAATTTGAAAGTTTATCTGCAAGTTTCAATTTACTAAACTATTTTGCTATTATAGTTTTAAGAATTCCGATGATCTCGGAAGAAAGAACCATCGTTTGTTAAGAGAAAAGCTGACCCGCATTCCTAGTAGAATCGATTTAACATTGCTCCTCATGAAATCCTGTATAGCGTAATTTTGTTATCAAGAGTGATCGAAATATATCGAGAGAAACATTTCGCAGCGACATAGTTACTCGTGACCCTTTCTTTTTTTTTCTTCTTGGCGAAAGGACGGAAACTTTTCGCTTTGATGCTCTGAGAAAAATTGATTGTACTAATTATAAGATACGTATGTGATAGAAGGCATTTTGGTTAAACCAAGCAGAATATCTAGTTATCATGATAAGTCTTGATTTTTTATAATTAGAACGTTTAATAGATTTTACTGCAAGGATTTGCTTAGTATTTTCTAGTTGGATCTCTAAAACTTCTTATTATATTAATTAAACATGGACACAGTGATGAAACTTTTTTTTAATTTAATATTATACCAAGAAAATTTGGTAAATTTAACAGGAAGAAATTAATCATACTCATCTTATAATTCCTAAAGGAATTCTGATTCGTTCATTTTCCAATAGACATATTAATTGAATTTAACATTTCTAATTAATGCAATCAAATTTTTTTCTCAGTGCGGAGATACGTGATGCCAGAGCAATATCGACGCTGATTTCTTCTTATCTCGAGACCGCAGGTATGAGACGCGGTACAGGATTACGTGGGTTGCAGGAGTGTTACAGGATTACGTGTAGCTCGTACGGGCCTGTAACGCCCGCTGTTGTCATTGTGCATCTTATAATCCGACCGAGGCTGAGATTAAAACACTCGGCCGGAGCTTTACCCGGGAGAGAATTATGGAAAAGTTCGAATGTGTTGTGACGATTCGCGTATTTCTTAAGATACACTTTTTTCCCGCAATTTTGAATCACATTCGCTTTGTGTCAAATCACGAATAATAGACTCGAAAAGAATTCAATTGGAATAATTCACTGTTGAGTTTTAATATTCTGTCTTTACATTCTCTTTCCGCGACAAACATCTCGAGAACGCGTTTGTTAAATTTTTTAATTTCATTTCTCAGGCATCTCTTGCGCATTTTGGTTTGTTTTCGCCTACTTCAATACCTCTAGCATCGAATTATTAAAAAAAATTTTTCCTAGAATAAATATTAGAATTCATCAGGCAAGATAATGATCTAATAAAAAATATTAGTTCAGTTTTTTCAAAACATGTCGAAGATTTTGTCAGTATGCTGTTAAAATCATTTTCTATCAAAACTCCATAAGAGAATTCTTTGAATGACTGCCAAATACTGCAAATAAGATTCTATCTCACATATCGAGATATATTCATGGAATGCATAATGAATATCGGCGCAATAAAGCAATATTGTGCTTTAAAATTATCAAATTTTGAATTGATAAAATTGTTAGAATCAATGTTATCTGTTTTTATTCTTTGTCTCTCTCTTTCTACGTATGTGCGAATTATAAAATCATTAATCGTTGAATATTACGGCAGAGTATTTTTACCTTTGATCTTTTCATCGTGAATGTATGTCATCTTTAATATCTTTAATATCTGTTTTACAAAAACAGATGGATAATAATGGATGATAATGTAATTATAGATTTTTTTCATCGAAATATGAAGTTTAAATGAAAACACATCGAACAGGGCAAATCGATACAATTAGAGATCACAAATGTTAAATGAAATATGAGATAGAAATAAAATAAATTCCACTTCTCTATTAGTAGTTAATTAAATTAATTAAATTTGAAAAAAAATACTTATTTATAATATACAATGTGTTAAGCACACTTTTCTGTAGTATATTTGTTATTAAATTTGAAAATAAAATAAATTTAATAAAAAATAAAGATAAAAAAAGAATTTTTTAAATAAAAATATACTAATAAATAAAATCATCTAGTTATTCTAATTATATTTATATTTAGTTTCTCTAAATAATAAACTCATACATCAAGAAACACAAATTGTTTCTAAAAAATAAGATAATGCTACAAACGCATTTTCGAACAGATAATTAGTCATATGAAATACATTATTAGATTCATTTTATTTTCATCATTATTGCCTTTTCATCACTAATAACATCTTATCATGCAACTGACGAATAATTAATAACACGCGATGTTCATTAATCATTGCACCTCTAATATATAATAGTGCGAAGAGAACTTTTATATGAGGCATTATCTGAGGTATTATCATTTCCTAAGAACACGTTTCTTCTAATGTTTCCCTTACAATAATTTTAAAAGATAGACACAAGTTCCAAATTTGTATCCTGAATATACATTGCTATACAAATATATAAAATGTATAAAAGATATAATAAAAACAAAATATCGATCTCGATTACGTGATTTAAAATGAGTTAAATTTTACAAAAAGACAAAAGAAAATAAAAATAAAGAAAATTTAAAGAAATAAAAAATATAAAACTGTTTGGAATCATGAAAACGTTTTTCGAACGTAATCTTTTAATGAAGGTGAAAGGACCAGGAAAACACGCGATGCGATGACATTTTTCTCGGTCTTCTTTTGCTTCTGGTTGAAAAAATTCGAGGAGTCGAGGGAAAATGGAAAAAGGGGAAAAAGGCTCATTAGTGGCGACGAAAGTATCGGCGGTTCGCCACAGTTGAGCTAATCTCGTGGTAATCGCATTTCGCGTAATTAGCAGCTGATTCTCTCATTCGTTTTTACTCAGCCTAACGCTGCTCAAGGCCCAGATTCATTGGATATATGATTGCGTATCGCGTGAAAATATTTCAACGAGTTAAATGCTATATTTTTTATCTCCAGCCATCGATTTTTGCAGGTTGAAACAAGCGAGAAATTCCTTCCGTTCGAATTTACGAGATATTACAAATTATGAAAATGTACGATTTTATTCCGAAACTGTCGTCGTGAAATCGTTAAAGTTGAAAAGTGTCACGAGCTGTCAAGAAAGTGATCTTAAAACGGGGTTAGTGCGCACAGCGGAAATACCTCGCCAAGGTAGGTAATTTTAAGAGACTTTTGCAGTTTCTGCCAATCTCCATCAACCATGTAATAACGTTGGCAGAAAAGTGCGAAGGGATTAGTACGTATAATATCGTCGTTGATCAACCAGAAAATGTCGGCCGAAAGACAGCGATATTACTCGATGTTCATATAATAATCTTCGTTTAATGATGATTACAAAGGATATCAACATCGTTATTACATGATATAAATACATGATAATGTGTAAGATATTATGATTATATCCTACAACGTAAATTTCCTGGGCATATTATTTTCTGAGCGCAATCGTTAATATATAATACTATTTCTCGAATAGAAATGATACATTTTTTTAAAGAAATTTCTAAAATTTGTTTTTCGCGAAATAATAACTTTTCTTTTTCGTTCTGCCTATTTATCTCTATTTCTCCCTATTTAAAACTTTAAAGGTACAATAAATCAGCAAAAACGATGTGAAACGCGCTGAAAGTTTTTCGCTGAGATTTATTTGTACCTACATTAATCTGACATTACCATCACAAGAAATCAGATTCGAATGTATAATTAAGTGTTGATTTATTATTAATTTATTATTTCAGTATATCAAATTAATTTATTTAAATTATATGATACAATGATGCAAAATAAGTCTCTACCGCGAAAATAAATCAACAATTAATTTTACAAATAATTATAATAAACTAACAAAATTATAAATTACTCACTTCATTATTTCTCCGTTGTTGTCTCTCCTTTTCCTCTTATTCCTTTGTTGCTCTCTTCCGTGTCAGGTTAGATTTCACTCTCACTCGCGAAAACACTATTAATTACGATCGCGCACATTACTTTTCAAAACACGACCATCTCACGGTACTTTACATAACACTCCCGATATTAATATTACGTTCATTTTATTTTACATTGAGACAAAGAAATCAAAAATGATTACACGCTTTACCCGGCAATCATGGGAATCACAATTCGCGTATTATCTCTACTGTTAATAAATAATGTATAAATACACTTTTTATTTTACTATTTTTCATTAAAATATACATTTTACTATTTTCCATCACTTCCGAAAATAATACGACGCCTGAACCGGCTCACGCTGCTACTCACCCGAACCGCGCAATAACAATAAGGTGACTGTATCATTGAAGCGTGACGTCAGCACTACGTCAGCGCTACGTCACACTTCAGGAATGCGGCGGCGAGCTACTGTTTACATGTGGTGATTCTGTTATTATATCATTTACACGGTGAAGTTCGAATAAGTAAGAAGCATCTCGTGGCGTATATCAGTGTTCGCGTACTCTTGAATTATCGATCACATGGCATTTACTAAGAGATCCCATCTTCGTATAATTGTGATTTTCCCATCGCAATATAAAATTAAGTACGCGTCGTGCGAGATTAATATCGCTACATAAAATGCCGACTGTATTCTGATAAATTGCGATAGTATAATGGACGGCAATTATTTCTTGAAATGTGCCTTTTTAAATATGGATTTAAAAGTCTTTACTCGTGCCTTTTAAATGTTTCCTCGATTTAAATTTTATTTTATCAATTTCTTTTTCTAATTGACAATACATAATATACAAGTGGCACGATCGAGCTCGTGATTTAAATTTGACTAGCGTACTTAATTCTTTAGCACATATCATATTATTTTACACATGTAATATATATATACACATATATACAGACATACGCGCTATAAAATCTTAATTGCGATTTTGTCATTCGCTTAGTCATACTCGAGTAAAAATAATATGGTGGGAGATTCTTTCACTGTCATATTATTTCTTGATGATTTTACATAATTTTCCATCGTTCATAACCTTGATTTTGAGCGTTTGCATATATCGCATTATTGTTTAAATATATATTATTTATATGTATTGTAAGTTACAACAATATAATTACGATCTTTGTCATTCGTTTTCAATGATACTCGAGTAGGAAGATTTCGGAGTGAGATTTTCAATCAGTTGAATTATTTCTCAAAATATTCGTGATTCTCGCGTTTTTCATATAAAATAAAATATGTATAGTAATATTGCAAGCTATATTAATAAGATGCCGTATGATCGTTATATTCTTGTGATTAGTAATTAATCGTCTATTCGCGAGTGAGTGTCAAGTGAATGGAATCAAAGGAACAGCAAAAGATGAACGAAGAAGAAGGAAATTCGAAGAGACTCGCATTGAATGACGACGGAATAATCATAAGGTAAGCAATTTATAATTTTATTAATCCGTCATTTTTAAAATTATTCGCTTATATATTTTCGGAATGCGTGATTCATTTTATATTGTTATTCATTTTATATTTCATATATGTAACAATGCATATGAAATATTAAGTCTTATTTAAAAATACTTTTAAATTCTTTGAAAAAAAAATTAAAAATTTTACATAAATATACATAAAATATTTCGATACACATCATGCATTTAAAATTTATATCATTTTTTAGATAATTCATATAAAAATATCATTAAATAAGTAATTATTAAAAATCAAACTAATATAAAATAATATTAAAATATTTAATACAAGATATATATAAAACAAACATTTCTTGAAAAGCTTTGCAATATTTTTTTTTAAATATATGTTAATATAAAAATTTATTATGCACGAGAATTATTTTATTTTTCAAATATTAATCATTTGAACATTGCCTTGTAGAATTAATTAATATTTTATTCTCGCGCAGCAAGCAAACTCATTTGAACCATTTTTTAAGTAATCAATATCATATTAAATTCAACATATCAAGAGCGAATAATTCGAAAAATCTCTCAATCAAAATCATTACATATATATTTAGCATAAAATTAAATAAAAAATCTCTTCTTTACTGGCAACTTTCGGCTTATTAATAGAAACAATAAATTTGAGATTGGAGTAGTAAATTATTTATACCGTTTATAAAATTTGACTTTTCGAGGGATACTAGGTTGATGCAAATCTCGCTTGTCGCGCAACGCGAAAGTCACAGAATTATTTTCTCGATGCTCGCGCGGAAAAAAATAAAAGGAAATCACTCCCGCGAGTTTTCATCAGCGGCGCAAACGACGATGTCAAATCCGCTCCGTACTTTTCAGTTTTTCGCTCTCGATGCTCTCTCGGCCATCGAACGCGGATAACAAACGCGACCTGGCGTGACACGCGCGTGATTTTTCGATGAAAGGAGCGACGGGCACGAAGGGAAGCATTCGTGTTACACGCGAACAGCATTCGTCAAAGTTACACAAAAGAGCATTCAAGTTATACAAGTTCGATAGTTGCAGGAACTTTGAGAACTCGTTCCGCTATTTTTGCAGCGCATCTCGCGTGTTGCGTCGAATAAATTCTCCCTTTACTTTATACTTTGGATAGATCGCTTTAATGCTTGTGTGCGCTCCTCCTCATTTATCAGGAAAATTCTCCTACAGAACTAGTTAAGAGTTGTGAGGTCTGATAAATCATTATACAAGTTCCTAGCTGTCGATCTATGAACATAGTTACAACGTCAAATCCGTCTATTCGTGGTAATACTTGGGTAAGAATATCTCTTTTCTTTTCGAGAGAACGGAAATGCGCAGAATCCGCGATATTGTGGAATCATAAATGAAGCTTATCGCAAAAAGCGTTGCGTTTACAAACTTATGGCTTTCCATCGACCTTTCGCGGACCAAAAATTCGCCTCTTACTGGTCAACAAAGCGGATTACCTATCCAAAGGAGATTTTCGTTCGAGAAGCGAGTTGATGGCCGGAACGCGAACGCGAACGAGACGGGAAATAAAATGAATCTCGAACGGCGACTGTAATCCGGGAAATGCGACCCGAGAAAGCAAGAAACCCTTTTGCGCCTTGAATCGATCCTCTCTCGCGAGAACTCACATTTCTTACTCGCGAAAGCAATGAAACAGCTCGAGCGCGGCAAACCTTTTGTTTCCTCGAGTAAACAATTTCAAATATGTCAACTTATATCTTTTTATAAAAATAAGATTTTATATTTTTCGAAGATTTTTTTATAAACAGTAACAATAGAGTATCTTTCACATAAAAAAGCTCATTGCATATTTCGCAAAGATGTTAGAGAAAGCAAATAATATCACGATTTTTCTTTTTACCTGAAAAAAATTGAATCAATTATATATTTTGGAAAATAAAACAAATTCCGAATAAAAAAAATATATCCTCGAAACATGGAATCTTATTTATGTAAAATATAAGAAAGAAATTCCCTAGAAACATTTAGACATATAATTAATGTAATATTAAAGTTCTCAAAATAGTAGTTATCTTAACTTTAAATTAAATTAAACTTTTAATTACTCTTTTATTTCACTTGCAATCTACTTTGTTTTTACATCAATCACACTGGCAGCTTTATCTAAAAAAGATACGAATAAAAAATAGATAAAAAATATTTCATTCTTATACCTGTCTACATAAAGTTTATTTTAAACATCGCTTTTGTCTCCAGTGATAAAAGAGCGACTTTTATTGGCGAAAATGGAACGCGCTCTACATCGATTTGTTTTGTTGTCTAGAAATTTCGCGATTTTCTTGATAATATCTCAGTTTTGCTGATAATACCGCGCGTGACACTTCGTTCCAGATTCGTTCCAGATCAGGATATCCACGGAAAAATTTAGAATGAATATTCCTTGTCTCGCAATTGACGCCGTCGAATTTTTGAAAAATTATTCGTTTTCGCGAAGCGAAGATGCGTGTTGGATTTACGAACCTGCGCTGGCTTTAGAACGCATGCATCACATTCGCCATCTTGTTATCACGCGCATGGGGTCTCTTCGTTTCGCGTATGGCGATGACGAATGTCTTCCCATACGCGGAGCGGCGGTTCCGATGCAATTCCCGATGCAAATGCCGCTTTTCGCGTGGGAGAACGACGTCTAATGCATTTACCACGGCGACGTTTGCGGATGCGCGCCGAGAAACGATCGCACCTGCATCTTTCGTCGGGGAAACATTAGCACGGTATACGCGGTGGCGCGAAACTTCCAAGCAAGGTGGAGTAGTTAATACGTACTTTTATTCGAATAATTATATTATAGTTATATTCCAATTAATATTATAGTTATATTCCAATTTAAAAAAAAATATCGCGACAAATTGGACGAGGCCTGATAGGAAAAAATTTGATTCTTGATTTTTTTATTTTTCCCAATTGTATCACCACAATTACAGGACATCCTTGTATATATTATATTATGCGTATACGTAATTATATTTAATTTCGCTAATTAAGTTCAACTGGATTCATATTTTCGGTATAATGATACTACTTTTAACAAGTTTCATTATTATGAGTATGGTTTTCAAAGTACCGCGACGAAATTGCAATAGCAAATTCGAAAGCATGGAATGTCGATAAAATTTAATACAGGCCAATTACGAACTTGTCGCGCGATATATCACTCTATTGTTAATTGAATTATAAGAGTGCCTTTTCACGCTACCTGCCCTCTTGTCTCTTTCGCGTATTTTATCGTAACACAATGACGAATTTTCGCATAATTCGCAAGTTCGACCGACGCATAAAATTACGCGTAAATTAAAATTATCATGCAAAAGACCGGCTTTTGCTCGAAGATTTTAAGCTTGAAAGCACTTTTAAATATTCTTGTTTATCGTCCTGGATAATATCGTAGTTCCCCGTTGCAGGCGATAATGCAAGAATAATGTTAGCGTTTTGACTGTAACGTGGAAAAGGAACGCGATATGATCGATAACGCAAAAATAACGGCCGCTAATTTAAACAATGCGAAAATATATATTATACTTTAATCTACAAACATCGAATAGAAATTCTGGGCTATTTTTCATATAATTCTTGTAAAATTTGCATTATTTTTCGAGCACTTTTATTTCGATTTTATTATCGCGAACACAAATTTCATGCGAATAACTGTATTATTTCATATACATTTTGTGTTATATATATAAATTGCGAATAACGAAAAGAAACACGGCGTTGTTGCACTGTTGTTCGACGAGGGTCTGGCATAACGATTTTTCCTTACGACTTATGTGTACTAGTAACCTTGATACGACCTCCTCGTTGAAAAGAGCGAATGTGGTAGTTTCTTATATGAAAATTTTATGGCAATTGCTTTATATACGACTGCTATGGTGAGAAACGCACCTAAAATATAAACTTCTTCTTGATAACTTTTGGATAATTTCGTGGAAATTAAATTCAAAATGATTTAACGATATTTGTTTGTCTTTATATTTGTCCGTTTCATAAAGAAAATTTAACTTTCGACTTCGATATAAAATGCAATTTTTCAATCAACTATTTCGTGTAATCGAATCTTCAAAGTATTACGTGAGTAATTGCGAAGAGATAAAATATTTATAAAGATGTTTCCTCGGTTTTCCTTCTTTTGTGCGACGATCCACAACAATTACTAGAAACATTTCGTTGATTTATCGTTGTCCCCCGACTTTCGACTCCATTCATCGTCACGGCTGATAAACTTTTTTGATACGCTTCTTTTACTTTGCTTTGGCAACTCGGTTAAACGTGAAATTTTCTCAAAGATCTCCTCCGTTCCTGTGCTATCGGTCATGATCACTTCCGCCATCAATCTACTTCCCGTTGTTTTATTTCCACTAGACGGAATACATTAAGACTATTGAAGTAATACTTTCGAAAGCGTCAAATAGATAAAAAGTCAAATAAATAAATAAATAAATATATATATATATATTTATTTATTTATAAATTTTATTATATCATTATTTCGTATAATATAAATGAAACATGTATGCACAAGTTGCTTATATAATTTTTTTACTAAGATATTTTTTTAGAAATGTTCAATAATACATCAATAAATAATTTAGAAATGTTAATAATATATCAATAATATTTTTTAAGTTTTTACTTTTATCTTTCTAAATTAAATGTCGATTAAATCTTACAAAATTAGAAATTAATAATGTAAAATTATTCACACTTTGAAAAATTATAAAATTTCGAATTTAACTTATCATTAAAATTTTTAAGTTTCTTAAGAATGGTTTTTGAAACTTATAATTCGTCAATATTAAAAAGACCTGTAAAGATGTATTATGTATAATAATATATATGCAAAGTGATAAAATTATATGGTAGTATAAATTTGATTTGAATAAACAACAGAAAATTTAATACATATTTTTAAACTTTTACAAAAAACAATAAAATATTTTTCATCATAATTTAATCATTTTATATCATGTACGCATGAATTTCTTCAAATCTGCTTATAGTATTAGCTTGCAATTTTTACTCCAAAAATGCGAGTTTCAAACGAGGTTATTTTGTTTGCGATAAATGTAGAATTCTCTAAAGATATTTAAATATATTCAAACATATTTAAAGACATGTAGATATTCATTCTCATAAATCATGAATAGTTAAAAGTTAATTTCAATCGTGTACGCTCATATAGGTCATATATGTTCTATTATATTTGCTAAAAGTGTCCATTTTCAATAAAATTCTTGCGAAATGTCAATTTTATCAGCGCGCTACACAAATGCATTGTAATGATAAAGCGAGAGATAAAGATAGCTTTATATCGTTGTAAATGAAATTTGAAAAAAAAAAGAAAACTGCTTTCGTCAGAATGTCAGTTCTGCGACGGAGGTGCCATTATACTCTCGTCAAGCTGCCAATGCACTATTCACGTGATGATCCGACAGACTTCGTTTTATTATGAACGCCATCGAGTTATTATAGTCGAAAGGAGATTATATTGGCTATGTTGACCCACAGGCACGTCGAGTTTAATCTATCAGCAGGAAGATCGAGCACCTGAGAATACATATTATACTCTGTTAACGTTTACCTCGCGTTTTTTTTTCATTGTGCACACATTAAATATAATTGTTACAAATTATTACAATTTATTATTATTACAATTTTATCGATTGCAAAATTTGATGCACGATGGAATCAAATAATTTAATAAAGAATATAATAATTTAAAAAATTTAGATGTTATTCATATATTGCTATTGTACAAGGTTGAAGAAATATTAAGTTTTATTTCAAGTTTTTATTAGAGAAATGCGAATAATATTTCACGAGTTGATCGAAAGAAAGCTTCTGCAATTTGTAAGATTGTATTCTTCAATATGTATATAATTAATGATACTCGATTTGTGGTTCAGATTAATTCAAGTCAATTCAAGTCTTCAGGATTATCCGATTTCATCCGCGTTTCTCTGACGAGTTTACAGTGTATTAAATAGTGGTGCGGTTACTTCAATGACATCCGACAGTTTCGATTTTATTGATGGGGCAGCGAAATTGCTCGTACTGAAAATGTTCAGTATTTTATGTCACGCGGTAGTTACAAGAGAAATCGAAAGAGAATAAGAGAGAAAGAGAGAATGGGGTTCAATCCAGATGGTCCTGTGGCATTCTGGTAACACAACGAAACGTGATATCGCATATCGATTCCAAAATCCCCTCCGATTTCCTTTGGTGCAGTCTCGATTGATCCCACATCGAGAGCAGTGGTTTCCGAGAAAGTTTTTCCAATGGTTAAAATGAAGAATTATAGGAGAATCGCGATACATGTATTCTATATCAAGAACGTCGTTGAAAGTCTCACAAGTTCACAGATTTATTGATAAAATAATTAATTAGCGAATGTGATTAAATTGTGAATATATGTCTTTCTTTTCCTTTCTATATTCTTTGTTTCCTTTTATCTGATCCTGATAGAAAGATTTTGAGAACCACTAATTCTGATAGAGAAAATAACGTGCACTTGCAGAGGAAAAACTTGCACGATTAAATTTACCGTTTAATAAGAGAACGTTCTATTATTATTTTTCAAAATGGAATCAACTTTTTTCATGATATTAGAAAATATTTTACGATATTAAATGTTTCGTGAATGAAAAATAACTGCATTTAATTAACGAAATCAAGCTAAACATCTCTCTCTTTCTCTCTGTCTCTCTCTTTCTTTCTTTTTTTAGGCATTTCATTACATATTAATAAAATTCAATAAAAAATTCAATAATCTCTAAATACAATATAGTAATTAATTAATATTTCCAAATTAATTAATTTATCGTAAAAAGAGATTGTAATACATAATCGTATATAAAAATTAATATATGGATCCATAGTCCATCTGGATCCATACGAATCTCTGACACGTACGATCTCAGCTAACGGATATTTCGTGCAGACGTATCCTGCGGCACATTCCAAGAATAGAACATAGGAAAGAAACATGACACACACGGGAGCCATTCCATCTCTAAGATATTCGAATTTCGGAAAGTTCATATGCGTCCTGTATGCATAATATCCGCGCATCGGTAGGATCCTTAAAGGGTTCTTAAGAATTCTTTCGTCTACTTTTCTCGCACGACTTTCCGTCATACCATTACGATTGAAAGGATTTATTTAGCGTCGCATTTCTTGTAATCCCGTAAAATCATATATGATATCATTATTTAAATATTTACAATCATGATAAGATACATGGTAAAACATTTTACGCAAGAAATAAAAGAACCAGATCCATCCCTTTCTCCTCTTTTCTTTAATAAATATAAAAATTTTTCGATAGCGTGAAAAAATATGAAATTATTCCCAAATTGCTTAATAATTTTGTGAATTCTATTTGAGCTGCTCTTTCATTTTTATAGAAAATGACGTATGTGAAATACCTTTTATGGATAAATACAATGATACACGCAATGTTTGATTGTAGGATTTGTTCCCTCCAGACATGACGACGATATTGTGTCTCTTAAGCTTCCCGGGAAAGGAGGTCATCGTGCGCGTTTAATAATTAATCGGCTTTGCCGTAAAGAACTATGTAGACGGAAACGAGCTTTATTCGCGTTTCAGATGAATCGTGGCGCGGCGCGTACACAAAGCCAATGGAGCCGGGGGCGGGAGGCTGAATTTGCGATGAGCAGCTAGCTTTTGATGTCTCACATCGGAGTAACGAGAATGCTATAGCGCGATTGTCATTAGGGAAACATCAAGACTTCATTTAGTCTCGACAAAAGCCTGATATAATAACGCCCGTAATCTTTAATTAGCCTAACAATAAGTCGATAAAATAGTGCGTTTTGCAAATTCTAGATATCACTTTACGTGTAACAACTTTTTAGCTTTTGTAGCAAAAATATAGTAACAAAAATAGCAAAAATATAGTAATATATAAACTCGAAAAAAAAATATTATTTGAAAAGATAGCAAATTTATTGGTATAAGTTTTCCATCTTTCTATTCAAATAACGGTACAAAACATATATAATATTCGCGCATAGTTTCACGAATTAACTCAAATTAAGAGAATAGAAATGTACATCTTGTTGAAGAGAACGAAATAGAAGATCAGTGAAAACTTAAAACAAATACACATATTCTATTTTGATAAAAATTTCAATTTTGATCAAATTTCTTTATCAAATTGATTGTCCTAGAAAATGAAGTTTGTCGGAGCTGTTTGCGACGTCACAAGGATATGTACCGGATGTGTCGTGAAATACTTAATCCCGAATACAAGAGCGACCACTTACTAGAACGGTGTAATTTACGCATTTACATGTTTTGAATTGCAAATATTCCGACGTCATGAGTTTAAGTTTGCTGCTCGCATTTTACGTAAGAATATCTTTGAATGATTACAAAGTTGTCATTTGTTCTGTCTCAAATTTAATCTCTTGAATCTAACTATCATTGATCATTTATGTACAAAGTTTTTTTCGAAAACAAGTCAGATGACATAAACATTATTTATAAACATCTTTTTTTAAAATAACGTTTTTAAAATTTTGAAAATTTAAAGTTTTGAAAATTCTCTTAATTTAATTATATCTCAATTTCGACTTCTTCTTTCTCCGAATTCTTTAAGAATTCGTTAATCCTCATCGATTTCGCGTAATTTGACCGTAATCATCATTAAAAACGAAGTATATCCCATTAGAGTCGTAAAACAGCCGTTCGCATAACGAGAATGCGGTTAAGAAGTGATAATTAAAAGGAATACTAGCAGTATATTCGCTCGAAAAGTTCGCATCAAAGATTCCGACTACAGTTACTTTAATCACTTCTGCAATAAAGGAATTTCTTAACATTCCGCGAAAAGAGGCGTAATAGTCGTTTCATTGGCCATTTTAATAATAAAATAAAATCGGTTTTGCCGTTCGCACCCGTTCTGCAAAGATGATAATTTGCAAATTCGCCAAATTTGCAATTCGCTCGTCCGCGACTAAAGTTTCGCGCTCTAAAGAATTCCAAAATTAATGACATAAATCAGAGAAGTATACGGTGTCTTTAATATTCATTTTACAACTTCCAACAAAATTTCGAGTCACCGACGTTGTCGGTGCACAAGCCAAGTTTCGTGATAATTATTACATTGCGCGGACTCGAAGCTTCCGAAAACCGCTTCACGATAGTCTGTCGTGAATATTAATTGTCGGTCATATTCCGTTATTAGCATTTGCTTGTAAGTAGGCCGAATCAAGTATATTACGTTGTGGATTTTCTTTTTTTTTTCAAATATAAAAATAATATATACTTTCATACATATTATTAAAAAATTAGATATTAATATTATTTTATTTGTAATATTAAAGTTATATATTATCGCAGATTCGAATCTCTAATTTGACAGATTCTTGAATATGTAAATCCTATAAAATCATTCTTTGATTCCACATCTTTTTATTCGCAAATTTTTAATTCGAGATACCTGAGTTTCACAGAGTATTAATAACATTTTTTAAGCATAATTAATCAATCTCTGTTGCGTTGTCTTCCAGTTTTATAAAATCATATAGATGAGAAAGTCTTTTATTAAAAATAGGTGTGATTAAAATAGATCATCTAACAAAATATATGAGAAATATCAAAATATAACGGAGATAAAAGGTGGGAATAATAAAAGAACCAAACAATTCTGAAAAGAGTATGAAGAGAACACCAGGAAAAGATTTGTTTTGTGTCGTTGATCCTTTGTTTATCCTTGCTAATTTCATTTCTCTTGGCGGTGTCGACTGACAAGTTTCTGCTTGCTCCGCGTATAAAGTTCAAGCGCAGGAAGTTCGGCGATAAATTCCGCGCAAGAAGATACCGCGGGACTTTCTATCCGAAGAGAGATCCGCGATTCTTAAACTCTAACGATATCGTTGGTGTCGCGTTAAAATTTATGGAATCCGTGCCGAAAAGAGTACAACGAACACCGTATCGCGTTGCATTCTAACAAGAAAATTCTCATCTTTGCGCGGCCACAGAGGATAATGATCGTTTGGAATTCTAAGATAAAAATAGTAACGTAAGCATATTGTGAAACACACTACTTTCCTTTTTTCTAACAATATTTTACTTAAAAAGTTAGAATTTTTTTCTTCTTTACGAAAGTCTGTTTTATTAAATTTAGAATTTGGAAATTTGACATTTCGCGTGCGATAATACGATGCATATATTGGATATAAATAAATGAGATCCTCCTCGCATTATGCTCATCGTTATAACGCTAAAACGGGAATATGTAAAATATCCGCGACGCGCAGAATAACCGCTAGGACAGTAATATATCCCTTTTGTACATTTGTGCCATTTACATCCATCGTGCGTTTCATAAACGAGAAATGCAATCCGATGACGCAACTCGCAACCAGACATTTATGCCGCGACCGGAAGACACATTCGTGTATGAAAAAGCTCGTAGTGAAAAGCACTTGTGGCGTAAAATACGTGACTTTATATACAACAAAATTGCACTAAAACTCTGTAACTATACATTAAATTTATATATATTTTATAACAGA